AAATTTCCAATATTTTACATATTATCAGGTGTCTTATTATCAATGATTTTATACAAAAGAAATTGGGAATTAACTTAAATTTCATTGCTAAACAATGGTATAAAATAACAATGTGTTGTACTTGATACCATAATAATTCAATTAATAATTTAAAATTTTGCTCAAAGTTGCCCAACGTCTAAGATAGCGGAATTTAATCCTTAGGTAATATGGTTTTAAATGGTACAAAAATTAGCTGCTACTAGCTGCGATTAATAAAGCAAATTTAATATAAACATTTCAGTTTATGTTTAATCTCGGGCAACAGATATGATCGATCGTAGCGACACGTCTAGCATCGATCGATAAACTCATTGATCGTTCAGTTATTTTCAACGCGTCGCGAGTGTTACGTATATTTGTGCAGTAATTATTTTATAAAAATTTCTTTAATTTGTTTAATTTAATTTGTTTAATTTAATTTCTTTAATTGTTTAATTTAGTTTAAAAAAATGGAAAATATTAATACTAATGGTGATCTTTATAATTACATACTCCAATTAAATTATAGTTTTAACAATTATAAACCAATTACAAGCGAAATTCTTAACCTCATTTCTTCAGTTGACATGTCGGAGGAAATGTTAAATGCGATTAAAGATAAAATAAGGAAGTTTTTGGTTAATTTACATAAAAGATGGATAACAGCGCGTCGTAATAAGGATTACTTTTTAAAAAACAACAAGGAATGGTTAGAGATGAAATTTTCCTTTCCAGAACAACGGGCCAATACAAAAATATCAAACTCCTTTAATCAAAAACCATTCACCGAATGTTCCGAACGACATAAAATGCGCAGGACAGAAGAGCTTAGAAATAATTTCACAAGCGAAGAACTCATGTTTGCAGCCAAAATTACCTCCAGGAAAGAAGGAAAACACGACATTGCAAAAATTTTAGAATTCCTTTTAAGAAATCCAACGGAAATTCAGAAGGTGAGAAATTTTTGTGAAGAGAAGTGTCCGAAAACCGAATTGTACAGTAAAGAGAAAGCTTTATCTCTTATGACTACTTTAGACCTTTCCAAGTCACAATACAGAATGTTGAGAGATATTTCGAGTGAAGGTGGGACAAACCAATATCCATCATATTATGCCATTCAAAAAGCTAAATTAGACTGCTATCCGGAAAAGGAATCAATTTATATTACTGAGAGAGGGGCATCTATAAAACTGCAGTCTTTGTTAAATCATACAGTACTTCGAATATTGGCTACAATACAAGTAAATAATAATAATAATAATAATAATAATGATAATAATGATAGTAATAGTAACAACAACAACAACAATAATAGAAGCGATAGTAATAACAATAATAAATTAGTTTTAATTTCAAAATGGGGATGTGATGGTGCTTCTAGCCAAAGCATGTACAAACAAAGATTTTCAAGTGAAGGTGATAACGATGATTCTGCGATATTTGTATCAACGTTAGTTCCAATAAAATTATTCAACCCAAGCAATGAAAAAATATTATGGCACAACCCAACACCTTCTTCCACATCCTTCTGTAGACCTATAAAATTTACATTTTGCAAAGAAACACCTGAGGTCATTCACACAGAAGTTGAACGCATTAACGAAGAAATATCGTCGTTAATTCCTACAGTCATTAATTCGACTGAAATTAGTCACCAATTAGTCATGACAATGGTAGACGGAAAAATCTGTAATGTGTTGTCAGAAACGAGTTCCGCTATGAGATGTTACATTTGCGGTGCAACACCAAAGTGTATGAACGATTTGACACAAATTGATAAAAATTCATGTAACGAGAGATACTATAAATTTGGACTATCCCCTTTACACGCCAAACTTCGTTTCTTTGAATGCCTCTTACACCTATCATATAACCTTGATTTTAAAAAGTGGTCAGCTTCTAGACCTGAATATAAAAAACTACAAGCAGACAAAAAATTATTGGTTCAAACAAAATTTCGCTGCGAATTAGGGTTAATTGTAGACCGGGTTAAACAAGGAGGTGGGACCTTTAACGACGGCAATACCGCACGAAGATTCTTCAAAAATCCGAAAATCACAGCTCAAATAACAGGAATAAGTGAAAATATAATACACAGATTTTCCGTCATTCTTCAGGTCATATCGTCTCAACAAAAAATTAATGTTAAAAAATTCGGTCATTATTCGTACGAAACTGCTAAATTATTTGTAACACTTTATCCTTGGTACTACATGCCCGTAACAGTACATAAGATTTTAATGCACGGAGAAAAGATTATTGAAGAGGCAATAGTTCCCATTGGTCAGTTATCAGAAGAAGCTCAGGAAGCTCGTAATAAAGAATTTAAAAAATTCCGGGAATATAAATCAAGAAAGTGTAATAGACAATCAACCAATGAAGATATTCTGCACAATTTGCTAGTAACATCTGACCCATTTATCTCATCTATCCGACCACGATTAGTAAAATCTATAAAACAACTGTTAAGTCCTGAAGCATTGGAACTCCTAATCTTAACAGACATCGATGAAGCTGTTGAAGGAGAGGAAACTCCAATGGATATCGATGCATAGGTAATTAGTTTTTAAATTTATATATTTTTCACGTTTTTATATTTAATAATTAACCGTGATTACAAGATATACCTAATAATTTTTGTACAATATGTGCGAAAAAGGGTTAGATGTATATAGCCTTGAAGGATTGCGTCATTTTTTATCTCAGTTATTGTGCTTGATATGAATAAAAAGTGTGCAAATTTATAGAACAAAATTCTAAGCAGTTCCGAAGTTATTGGCATGTCCAGTTATTTGCCTTACTCGTTCCACTGTGCGACACCGTTGAAAATACCTTTAATCTTTTGAAATATAACGGACGTAACGTACTTTTATCAATTAGGTTTATTTAGTTTAATTCCTATTCTATTCCACTGCATGTAAAAACATTGAACAGTGTATATACCATGCATTTGATAAATAACAGACGAAAATTCGTCGAATAAGTAACTCTAACACGCAAAAAACAGCGAAAAAATCGGTTTTTAATTTTTTTAACTATGGCGCACCTCTTCAAAAAATCTGAAAAAAATTGAGGATGATAGTATCAATAATATACACTTACGAAAAAAATATGATCGTAGGACTTCATCTCCTTCAATATAAAATCGCCATTTTTCAGCATTTTTTGACGTTTTTGATTTTTCACGGCTTCAGTTTTCAATCTACAAATCTGAAAAAATTCTGTAATATGTGCCTCACAAATAGAAATGTCACTGATTTTTTTCAGAACTTTCGAATGTCATTAAATGGGAGAAATTGGCCAAAAACCTCGCAATTACATTTTTACCCGTAACTACCCTCCCAGATGAGACACAGGGTTGAAACTTGGCACAGACTGGTTTATTTTGATCACCTATCGAATGGTTCATAGCAAGTCGAATTTGGTTTGGGGACACTTTTGACCATCTTATCCGGCTATACCCTTTATTACCCTAAACATCGGCTTCGCGCTTTCATGGACCTCTCACTCATTTCTCGTACCTCTCACTTTGCGGGCGATTTCAAACAAAGAAGAGGGGATAACGAGTTGCTTATTTCGAAGCAGAGACCACTTGCTTATTTCGAGGCAATACTGTACACGAATTTATCAATATAACGTCCAATTATGATTCCTTATGGAATTTTTTGTGTGGAAAAAAAGTTGTTCGTAGCAAATTAATATGTCCGAGGTGTCAGAATGATTTAGCACTAACTAATACTTCTAAAAATTATTTATTTCATTGCATGAAGACATATTATAAAGTTATAAAAAGCCGAAAGCGACGAAGAGTAACGTGCAATTTCAAAATTAGTGCATTCCATGAAATGTGGTTTGAAGGAACACACATGAATCTGACGAAGATATGTCGTTTTATTGCCTACTTTTTATTGCTGTAACCCCCACGACTTAGATGTTTGATGAACGAACTAGAATTAAATAATTAAGATGTAGTCGATTAGACACAATTTTGTCGAGAAGTAAGATATGGCATACAGTTATCGTTGCACGTTATTTCTGTTATATTTGCTCTTAAGTAATATTGTACACTTGTTCGCTAAATTAATTTTAGTTACTTCAACAATGGCTAGTAAGTAAGCAAGAGTCAATTGGCGGACCGGAAAATTGTTGAAATAGATGAGGCTAAAGTAGGCAAGAGAAAATATAATAGGGGCCGTGTAATTCAAGGACAATGGTTTTCGGTGGTATTGAACGTAACAGTAAAAAAGTTTTTGTTTTGCCTTTTTCCTCGCTATGGCACTCGTGAATATCATTTCACGAATTACATCGCAGAATTATTATTTTAAAAAATTTACGATTTTGACAAACGCATTGAGGCTTTTTTTTTAAATAATGCGTTCACTATATCCATTAGATCATTTAAATACTGATTCAATTTTCATTTCGTGTACTGATCATCTGTTTCTTATATTATAATATATAATATAATAGTAATCCTCTATTCATTATCGGCTTATTATATAATTTTTATATGTTAATAACTTTTTAATAAAAAACGAGATTTTTCGAGAGATACTCAGGAGTAAGTTTTACGTAAGTTTTACCACGATTATGAACAACAGCACTATATTAATAATGTATTGTCAAGAGGTACGCTTTCATACTTCAACAATGCTACGTTCGACTTATGCTTCAAGTACAATTTTTTTAATTTGTTTTTAGACTGCGACGAAATTAATTAATGAAACTGGCACGAATTAAACATTTAGTACAAGTAATTATCTCTATCCCAAAACTGAGATGAATTCTGTTAACTATTTCCATTTAATTTGGACAGATTCCAATTTTTTATCAATCTTTTTCAGAGAGATTGCTCGAGTACACAGCTAACGGAAACCTTTGTATTCAATATGTACAAGTATAAAGTACAACAATCGATGATATAGATGGTACATGTTTCTAATTACTCCAGTCTTCGATTGTATTTATTATTTAACACATCAATTATTATCGTACATAATCTTTTATAGATGACATTCCATCAACATCGACGGATAACGTTAATATATGTATAGAAAGTCAAGGAAAAGATATTGAAATTCTATTTACACTAAAAGATTCTGTAGACTATCCTAAATACAACTATACCTATCTTTAATACATTATAAATGTTTAAGTATGTTTAAACAATCATTGAACGCGGAGGGACCCCGATTTGGCAGAAAAGGTCTATTTTATAAAACAGTGAACACGGTCCTGATCCCCACCACCATTCGAGTGGTTTCAGCATCAACGACAAAAGACAATCAAATTACAAGATGTCAGACCAAGAGGTGCGTATAATCAGCCAGTAAAATATTATATCATTAATATTACGTTATTTATATATAAATTACTTTCTTTACAGATGGAAGTGGTCAAAACAGATGAGGGGAACAAAGAAAGCAAAGAAGAAAAGAAAGAAGAGGAGAAACAAGAAGAGAAAGAGAAGCCGTCGTCGTCGTCAAAAGTAAGTAAAAAAATTAATTTTTCTATGTAATAAATGTGACAGAATTAAATTTTCCTGAAAAGAAATCATTTCACGCAAATTAATTTACACGATTATTTATTGATTTTTAATAATGTCACAATTATAGTAAAATTCATGGCTGAACTTCGTCTTGGGGGACCAAAAATTTCTGGATGAAAAGTATCAAATCTTATAGTTGTTGACCTGAAACATTCGAAAATGCAAGTTAAATGTCCAGGAAACCAATAGTTTAAGAAATACAAGTGTTTAAAAATGTACGTATTTAGTGACGTTTGACAGGTTACAATGACGCCATCTTCTGATTGGTTCGCACAAAGGTTCGCGCGTAAATTTGAAATCTGTTCATTTATTTCAGGTATCATTTGTTAACTCTATCAATTTTTTTATGGAACTGTTATATTCTTCGTAGCATCATTGTCGGAACTGTCTTTTATTGTTGGTGTGTTTTTTGTATCATTTATTTATTTTTTGTGTGTTTTTTATATTTTTTGTGTTTTTTTGTATATTTGTATATAATGAGTACGATAAAATATAATTTATGCAGGTATTTGAATTTTATGTGTTACTTTCTTTAATATAATTTATACATTTTAATTTTCTGTATATTTTGTATGTAGTATCTGTGTTTTTATGAATTTTATTTAATATGATTTATGCAGCTTGCCCCCTTCGAAGGAATCGGCTGTTTCATGGGCCAGGGAGAAGGGACTTCGACGTACTACAAGAAATTGTAGTACCCATCGCCGGCCCATGAAGCTTTACGCAGGCGGGGAACACGGTCTTGGCCGTTTCCGATGCCCTGCTGGCCGCGGTAACTGCAAACAGTACGCGGCCACAGTCGATTCCTTCTTTCAGGATGTCCGTCTGCCGTTACATAAGGCAATAAAGTAAATTTTCATTTGAAATCATTTGATTATTAATTTCAATTAAATTTATAATCGTTTCTTATATATATATATTTTTTTTAAGGCTTATGTATTGCTTTACTTCCGACTTCTCCTACGAGGTTACCGCAACGGAGGTATCCGACGTAGGAGAAGATGAGGAAGTATTGTCAACGGACACGATTGCAGATTGGTTCCGCTACTGTCGGGAGATGATAGTGGACCACGTTTGCAAAATGCAAGCAGGCAAGCCGAAATTAGACGGGATCGATGAAGGAGGTTCTGCAATCGTTGTACAGGTAATTTTTATACTGTTTTTAATTAATTTTGTTATTATTCCTGTTTTCTACTACTACACTTTAAATATTATTTCAGATCGATGAGGCCAAATTTGGAAAAAGAAAATACAACCATGGCCGTATCATCGACGGCCACTGGGTACTTGGCATAGTCGACACATCGAGCAACGATTGTAGAATGGTTGTCGTTCAAGACCGGGAAGCGGCAACCTTGATCCCCCTAATTAAAGAAAACGTTGCTGCAGGCAGTGAGATCCATACAGACTCATTTAGGAGTTACATGGGTCTCGCTGCTGAAGGATTCATCCATAAGATGGTGAATCATAGCGTCGAATTTGTTGGTAATTATTTCAGTTTGGTTAGGCTATATTAAAATTTCCGACCGCCGCGAGGCGGCCGGTCACATTGGTGTGATATTAAATAAATGTTTTGTGTATCTTTTAATTACAGCGCCTGATGGAACTCATACGCAACAAATTGAAGCGAACTGGCGACCGGCAAAGGATTGGATGCGCGGAAGAGGCCGCTTCCACGACGAAGACTTTGCCGATCGCCTGTGTGAGTATTTGTGGAGAAAATTCTGCAAAACTCACACAATTCATCTTATGGATTCCTTGATCGCGGCAATCAAGGAGCAGTACGTTTTCGAATAAGGTAACTTGAACTTAGTCACTTAAACGAACCAATCAGATGATGGGTAGAAACAATATGGCGTCACTCTAACCTCTGAAATGTCACTAAATACGTACATTTTTAAACACTTGTATTTCTTAAACTATTGGTTTCCTGGACATTTAACTTGTATTTTCTAAAATTTCAGGTTAAAAACAAAAACAAAAAAAAAGGACCCCTTAATTTTTGGTCCCCCAAGACGAAGTTTTACCAAATTCATTATTATATTTCAGATAAAAAAATTACTAAAAAAAATTGTACATGGCGGTGGCCACCGTAGAAGAAAATGGGGTGGCCGCCGCGGAGGAAGAGGAGAGCGCGGCGGCAGAGGAGGACGAAACGTAATTGTAAATTACTATTGAAAAATAATAAATAAAAAAAATATATGATAAATTAGTACATATGTCTTTATTTCTTATTCCCTTTGTTGCGAATCTCTGGCGAATAATCGCGACAGACCCGCGGGCTAGAATATTCGCGACGAGAAATTCGTACGAGTGCGAGTGAAAAAGCAAGATGACAAACCCGATGTTCCGTGCGACAAAACACAGTCCGTCTCGCAAAGCCATCGGTATCGTCATCTTGCTTTCTCACTCGCACTCGTAACGCGCTGTACAGTGGGACAAAACGGCTTTCGGCGATCAAAATTTTGTAACTTTGGTTCTATTGGAATTATTTTAATGAAATTTTGGGAAGCTTTTGCCTACATTATGGTACATAAGTTGTATCAATATGAATCATATTGAACTACAAGGTATCAAAATATTCACTTATAAAGTATAACGCGTTCAATATCTTTCATTTGTTAGACATATTTTATGTCATTTAACAAAAATTTGACTCAAAACTGTTAATAACTATAATAAAAACGGATTTAATAATTAGAAAATGACAAGACATGTGTTATTATAATATATTTATTTATATTTATTATAATCTATACCAAATCATTCGTGAAAATAGTTTCGACAATTATGAAAATTTATTATGGCATATTGCAAGGCCGAAATAAAGTTTTGGGTAACGAATATACACGTCGAATGCAGTTAACTGGATAATAATCGTATCTGGTACTGCTTTTCCATCATCGTGCGCTGCGGCCAAGATGGGTGTAATTTATTTCAATCGCCATTTTTTTGAGCAGTGGCAGGTTGGGGCAGCCGTTTTTTTCCTGATCTTGATAGAGGAAGGTTCACTCTTTACTACAGTAATAATCAAACCCCGCACAAGTGCACACATTTTTTTAAAATCAAACGCAAAGTTGAGATTTTAGTTAAATGTACTTCGTTTCAATCAGATCCTATTATTTAAAAAGTTGTTAACATTTTAACTTATTTTATGCGCTGAATAGAATCTATACTAATCTAGTAAACTTTGTAATTCATTTGAATTTTATCTTTCCGAGTAAAATTCATTAGAATCGTACATTGAAGTTACGGATAATATCATCAGCGTTTCGTTTTGACAAATTTCTACTGACTTTGAGTGCGAACCACGGCAAAACGAAAGCAAATATGAAAAAAACGGATTACACTACGTTAAACTACAATTTATTCTCTATCGATGTATGTAAATAGGACTTTTGATCGCCGAAAGCCGTTTTGTCCCACTGTGCGCCGTCCGCGCGATCAGCTGTCATCGGCGAGCATCGGCCGCCGATTCTTTGTTTTCTATTTATAGACGCGTTTAGAATTATTGTAAAACTGTTGCATCCTCACTCCCTCCCATTCGCCTTCTTCAAATTATTAATGTCCTATAGTTTTCATTCCTATAAGTTTTATGGTCGCGTACGTTATGTGTATTATTTCGTTCTTGCTACCTCTCTTTCGTTCGCGCTGTCCTTTTGTATGTCCGGCAGGAATCAAAATCTTGTCAGTAAATAATAAATACATAAATAGGAACACAAACAGCACATTTATATCGCCTTCTATATCTTTTTGCATATAGAATATGCGAATATTGCGAAATGTGCAAGTTTTATAATTCATTTCTCTGGCATATCTCTATAATTTCGTTGATAAAAAAACATGATTATACATATAAATAAAAAAGTTTTATGGTTTGCCACACATTATGTATTGTTTCATTCTCACAATCAGACCTCTTTATCGGCTCGAGCTGATTCACCATAGCTGTTTTTTCAGCATAGAATGTGATATTATGCTGGACTCTCCTGATTTTGCGTTACGCCAAAATATTCGATGAATAGGTAACGAAAATGTGACGTTGGAAGAACGACACGGACAAATAGCGAAAGAGAAAAAGGTCCGAGAATTCAAGGCCCCGAGAAAAAACATTTGAGTGAGACAATATTAATTCAACAATAACTTTTTTATTTTTCATTTTTCCTAAATGAAACTTTCAGCAATGTAATTGTAAGGTTCTACTGATTAAAATAAGACCAAACACCATATAATTTGCATTATTTTTACTTATTTAGATATAAATAAGTAAATAAATAATTATAATTCAAATTATGTCATGTTTGATCTTTTTCTAATCTGAAAAATCTCACAAATACGTTAGTAACATTTTCAAAATGAAAAGGTTTTATTTTGATTGCGTTAGTATTGTCTCACACGTATACGGGTAAAACTTGCTTTCTTTCCTGTACTCTGCGTCGATTCTCGGCTGTCACCACATCAAACGCGAGCCGAACTCATTCGCTAAACGTGTTCTGTACACGGTTCGAGTTCGCATTCAGTTCCGAATGCACTAACCGAGATTTTAGTGTACGTATACCTATGCTCCAACAGTGCATATATTACTATTCTCTTATTTTGTCGGGAAGGGCAAGAGTATATTATTTTCAATAATATTCACAAAGTGACGTCTCAGGCGCTGTACGTCATGGGAATAGTTTTCTGAGCAAGGGTTTCCACCCAAAACTATGGTAATGATATATGCCGCTGCGTATACACTGTAACAACTGTAACAATCTGGTTGCGCCTGAACCCTTTCAAAAAGTATATCCTTTTTGCGAATATGAGGAAATCGTAATGCAATATATATTTTTTCTTCCTCTGCGAGCTTGTCGTATGCACTGCCAGGTAAACTATCGTATACATGGAGTTTGCGGCCGACAAAATAGATACTTCGCCAGTGATCAGAACAGTTGCCTCCAATTATTTGCACGCTTTTGTCACTACAGCAGGGCTTGATAAATTTTGTAAACTGTAAGTATAGGACACTTTGCGTTTCAAAAGGAGTACTTTCTCTGACGACACGCAAAAATCGATCTAACGATTCATCGTTTAATTTACTTTGCACAGGTAGTACATTTTTCTGTACGTCAGTTACGGAAGAAACAGCAGTCTCCAATATATAGTATCCTACATCATCATCTATGAAGTTTTCTTCTTGGTCTGAATGACTGACAATGATACACTCGCTCGTTACTGCTTCAACGGTCATATTTGATGCTTCAACACTGTTCTGCATCATGTTTTCATATGTACGTTTTTTTGCCATTTTTCTACTAGATTTTTGAATTGATGCGTCTTCTTTTGCCCGTAGTATGTATTCTGGATTTCTAATAGGCATGTGTCTATTGTGGCGGCTGTCCAATATTTCCGGAAGCATGCACTCTTCGTAGAAACGCGTTAGGAAAGGTTCCATGTGATTTGTCCAAAACGCGTTGTCTCTATTTACGTGGATCATATGTATGCTTTTAGGTGTCCAGATAGCGAAAATACAGTACTTCCGCTGCGTTATATGCAACTGACCTTGTACTTGGTAGAAATACTGGTGCTTCCTATTCATTTCTTGTATATCTCTCTTATCGAAGATGTTTCGTAAGTGACGTATTGTTTCTATTGCGTCTATCGCTGTCAAATTCTCAGCAGATTGTGGGCATTTCAGTTCCAGTAAACCGTCATCGTCGATAAGTCCATCAGGAGAGGCACCCAAGTATGGAATGTCGCGATCAATGAACAATCCACAAGTTGGAATTCTTGTTTTCATTGCGTTCGCTACACGTCTTTTCTTGCAATGTGTTCTTTATCGCGGCCGTATTTCATAGCAGCGGTATCGACAGGTGGAGGAAATAAAATGTTTTTTACCATTGCTGCGCAGGACGTTGTTTGTCTCATGCGACATACTGCTCCAAAATTCGAAGCAGTTAGCATTTCCTCTTTTAAAGCTCTCCATAAATCTGAATCGTTTTGCTCTCTTGTATTCGTTTCTATTATTGTACGATTTTTTGCATTATCAGCAAGCTTTTTAAAATGTTCCTTAAAATGAAGTTGAAGCAGCATATGACTCGGAAGATCTAGTCTTTGCGAGTTTGGACCATAATATTTATCTGTTCCTTGCACCAGCTTAAATTTCATTCTCTTGCCATGGGTCATTCGTAATTCTTTCGTTTTCGCAGCGCAGAAACAACCGGCAGTATCGTAACGTGGTGACACCCGTGCCCCCCCGTTACAATCGCTGCGCTTTCCCTCACGTTACACCTCCACCTCAAAACCACCCGTAACCCTTCCCTCACCTAACCCTTTCCCCCTGTTCACCGGTGTCGGGCCGATGGAGGCGACAGAAAACCGAAAAGGAACACCCGCAGAAGGAGCTACGAGGCCGGCGACAAACCCCTAACCCGTTCTCCAAGGAAACGGAGCAACGTGGGACTCCGAAGAAATAGACGAAGCTGCCCAGATCATGCGAAACGTCCACCCGGAGCCATCTGTCGCCGAGCCCGAAGACCTCAACCCACCCGTCATCGCGGGATATCCGCCAGCCCCATCGACCCCGAGCACCGGTGTATCGAAGATCGATAATCGATCTATCCCGTTGCCGGAAGAGGCCCCACTCCCTAGTCCCATCCCCTCCCCAAACCATCCCGCGACGGTTTCGTCGTCGCAGCAACGAGACAGATTGTGTGCGAGAGAGTGAGAGAAGTTTTGGGTGAGTCCCTTAACGTACCTATTGTAATTGCGAGATCGAGGCAACGGCTATTTTCTCCGCCCGCGCATTGTTCGAAGTAGAGACGACTCCCCATTTTCCGCTTTTCCCCCTTTCGATTTCCCAACCACAGCTATTTCCTCATTCGCGTAACGTAGACGAATTTTCCTGCGAACCCCTCTTCCGACCCTAGAGACTTCCCTGCCCACAATAATCCTCCTTGCGTACTCCCCCGCGAAGCATTGTACGGACGTAAGTGCCCCGGGACCCATCCCCTGTAAGACACCCACAATCACCCCCCCCCCCCCCCCCCCCCCCCTCCTTTTTTGATCTTGATCGCCACAGCGAGTGGCTGGCGCCCAACGTTTGAGAAAGAATACTGTAAAGTAAAGTGCGAGTAGAACAGTGTATAGAGTGAACCCCCGAAGAGGGTCACAGTATATACAGTAAGTCCTTTTTTTGCGTTCCTGTTTA